CATAGCACAACACTGTTTGTGCACCTGTGCGACACAAGCAATAAAAGGGTTAGTATAGGTTGGTCACTGACCTTGATATTGAATTTAACGAGAGCACACCTTATGAAAGATTGTAGGGCCAAATCTTTGCATGGAGAAGTCCATTACTTTTATTAATGACACACATCATATAGATGTTCTTCAGGTAACCGTGTAAAGTCCAAAGCCGCGTCCTTTGTTTCATTCTTTTCCACATCAACCTCTTTCATGTTAAACCTTCAGGCTTTACAATCTGTTAATATGTTGGGTTATTTCACTAGTTCGAGCATGTGTTGTGTGATGACAACAGAATCAGCTTCTTTGATCGTTATGAGAGTAGGACCATCGCAACTGCAAACACACTGATGTGATAATTCTCACATATTTCTATATAAAAGATATCTGTTCTTTGTGACTATTTATTTCATCTATGCAGAAAGAATAGCGTTTGGAATAAAATTCTAAATCATCTATTCATGACATCCATATCATGAGGTTATTTCCAGGTGAACATGTTTTTAATTATTTTATAATATGTGATGAATGATTGTTGCATATTATTTTGCCCAGCAGCAACATATGAATCTAGGACCAACACAATTTATCCATTAGTAGATATAATCATCATTAGTTTAACAAGTGGCCGCTGCTTTTATATATTGTTGCTTCATCTCTAAAATACAAACTTTTCACTTTTCTGTACATATACATACGTGCTATCTAAAAACCAGAATAGCAGCATCGTTGCCAAAAGGTCCCGTGCCAAAAGGATGGTATGGTTAAATATTAATTTTCGGCAGCTAATATGTGCAAATTCAAAATATATAGGAACAAAATCGCACACCAAGACTATAAAAGCCGAGTATGTTGCGTTCTTTATAGCAAAAGTGTTTGCTAAACAAGAAAGAAATGTAGACCGAATTCTATTTGTTATCCCATTGTGAATTTTTAACGAGAAGAATTCTCCCCAACAGGTTCACACATGAATATTTTCTGACAGACAGGTCATGAAACTGATGCTTTGTTAGTATTTACCACCAGTTAGATTGTGAGACCCAGCAAAGTCTATTTCACCTTATTTTTTTTCTTCTGCACGTGTGTTTGCCAAAAGACCAATCACATCCATTCTGTTGCAAAGTTGGTATGGTTTTCTATCTTTGAATCTATCACATGGTGTACGTTTGGTCCCAAATGCTTTCTGTCCAGATGACTTTTGTAGTATTGATTTCCAGCAGGATGACAGTACTATATAAATAACGAATACTTGGGTTCGTATTTCAAGCAAAATAGTCAACTGAGTGCGCTTTAGGCACAGAAGATATCTGGAATGACCACTGTTCATTGACCCGATGTTCAGTGTCAATTAAATACTTAAAGATTTTTACTGTGGCTTGATCAAGGATGAACCAAAAGTGAAATGTGGATGAGGAGCATAGCTTAGACCACTTCTAACCAGTTTCATTGCCATTTGAAGGGGGATAGCCAGGCACATGCTTTGGTAATTTTTTTTTACTATTATGTGGTCCAGATATGTGCCTTCTTCTTTTAGGTCCTCATTTCACGTGGCATTTGATACATCTGTGTTCTTTCTTCACACCTGTATGGTGTATCACTAACATTACGTCACTGTTAGATTAATAAAGATTGCAGTAATCAATGTGGCAAAACATTCTAAGACTTGTTACTATGAAAGTGCCTTAGTTTCATTGGATAATGTAATTTCTAGCATTTAACCATGCGATTGGCTTTACTGAATAAGCTGCGATTTCACTGGCTGACACTGAAGATTTATTCAGTGATTACATTTTGCATGTTGTACATTTGAACAATATTACTTTTGAATGCTTATCGCACCTCATGCAGATTGTTTATTACATTATATTGAAACGAATTTGAATACCCACATCAGTAATTCACGTGAAAACCATAGCCAATGTGAAGTCGCGGTGGAACGAAATGTATCAGAACTACATTTTGACATCGTTTGGAGTGTCGTGCGTAGATAGTATAATACCACAGAAAACTGATTGCTTTTTTGGGGTGGTGGTGGTGAATGATATGTAACTTTCCTTTTTGATGGAAAATATTCATACACTCAGGTAATAAAGATGTGTTAAGATTGATGATTTATAATTTCCAAGACTGAGACATCCCTTGTACTTGATAGTATCGGAAAACAAAGGAATATGTATCAATCTGAGGCACCAAAACTATCCATAAATATACCTGCAACAAGTCATATCCCAGGTGAGAGTCCATGAACACAATGGTCAATGGCAAAAGTCGCCCAGGCAGTAGTAAACAACATAATCAAGAAAGATCTTCACCTGGAAAAGCGACACAAGTCACATGTTCACAAGTCCCTTCCATGATATATCTGTTCAACAGTCACATATTTAAACAGCTAGAGAATGAAACAGGTATTCATCCAATTCCATATGAACCATAGGCACCTATGGATTTCTTTGTAGTTGGACCGTTGAAATGGGCACAAGTAAACTGTCAATCTCCTACACAAGATAGATTATGGAAAGCAACAGGGAGAAGGGGTGTGATTTGAACATTACAGTCTTACGATGAAGCTTTTTTGCAGTAGAAATTACGCTGCAGTGCTATTGTCGAGATGTACGAACATCAGATAGAGCATGACCGGATGAGGCGACATGGACTGTGAGACTCCAAAATCATTTTAATATAACATACTTAACTTCTATAATGATAAACAATACATTAAAATCTGAAGATGTTTAAATATTGTATTCATATTTAAAATAGATGCAAAGTAGGAAATATGATGGGTTTATAAACAATACATTAAAATCTGAAGATGTTTAAATATTGTACTCACATTTAAAATAGATGCAAAGTAGGAAATATGATGTTAAACCCATAAAATAAAAAAGGTTTGGTGAATAGACAAACTCATTTTTAAAAATATGCCTTATGGTAGTTTCATTACAAGTGAAACAACTTCCATTTTAAACACTGTCACTTGTATGCAAAATTCTCATCTTAAAGGTAATTGCCATTCCTACAGTTACTTTCAAGCATTTAACACAGTTCTGTGGTTTCTATCATTTCGTAATTACCACGCAAGGGGGAAGGGGTCGAGGAGGTTCTGCTGAACCCCCTATTTTTGTGGTGTAAAACATACTGCCATGTCGTTCATGTTCATGTGAACGTTCGGCATCTGCTCTCCGCCGGTTGAATAATTACCTGAAGTGTACACAAACCAAAGAAAGACTGAATGTTCTAGCTTTAATACATAATAATGACACTGCTATCAACATTGAAACTATAAGTAGATTATAAAGAATGGAGCATGCTAACATGTTATTTCAGTAATGCAAACACATACGTAAATGATAGTCTATGATTGAAATAGCTGATATACTATTGTTGTACAGAGTTCTTTAAATTACTATTATAATTGAAGAAAATAACTACTCTGCATGTATATAGTACAGTACTTTACTATAATAAAACATATATATTTAAGCTAATTTGAATTTAGCTCCGCATGAAGTGTTATAACAGAAATATATATATATATATATAATGATTTGTTGACTTTTCATTGGGTGTTTATGGATTTTATCTGAACTTTTACTTAACTTATATTTCATGCAAAATTGCTTCCAGATTTAATCTCATAGCACCAACGTTTTGGGATTTTGTCTCAAAGCTACACAGTGGGTTATCTGTACTCCGTTCACCGCAGGGAATTAAAAACCGGATCTTAGCGTTGTATGTCCTTAAACTTACTGCTGGCCCACAGGTGGACCTATTTACTCCTATATTTCAGTTAGATTTGTCTTTTGGAATATTATGATAATTTTGCGAATTCAATATCTCAATCATATACTATGAACTTGGCTTTTAGCAATTTCCTGTACATATGGAGTGGCCATCCTGGATTTAATTCCGATGTAACGGTTCCAACGATATTCATGGCCAGGTAGTTAGGGCGCTCAACTCGCAATCTGCTCGCCAAACACGCTCGCCCTTTCAGCCGTGGAGGCATTATAATGTGAAGTCAATCCCACTATTCGTTGGTAAAAGAGTAGCCCAAGAGTTGGCGGTGGACGATATTGACTAGATGCCTTCACTCTAGCCTTTTACTGCTAAATTAGAGACGGATAGCGCAGATAGCTTTCGTGTAGCTGTTGTACACGAACTCCCAAACAAACGAAACCAGCAATAATTTAGGAATTATGCAGTACGTTAAATGCAACTGTCCAACGTGAGTTAGGTGCAAATAATAAAGTACAAGATATATTACAAAAGTTACTTTTTAAATGCCGAAAGCTGGCAAAATATTGGAACCAAGCTGTAATGGACAAATTAAGAAAAATGTGGAGGGAAAAATAACAGCACCCGCATTTTGGCAGTAATTTTTTTTTACTTTTAACGTTATTGTTAAAATGTCTAAATCCCTCCAGTGTGCACTACAAATTCTGAAAAAGAATATCAACAGTTAACTTGTTTTTATAACAATTATAGGATATATTTTCTAACCCAAATACAGTTATTTAGCATATTATATTATCCCTAATTAAAACATATATATATTTGAGATAACATAGACATAGGAACAAATGGTGACGCTGGTTCAACAACTCAAATAGGTTTATGCTTTTATCTCTGATGAACAGCTCAAGTATTTAAAAAAAGACTGTATTTTGAACTGCGTTCGTCAACAGGTGTTACCTAATAACAAGGCTTATACAGGAGTGTGAGTGTGTGTTGCAATAAAATATTCTCGTAATACAGAATATACAAACAAAAATAAAGGCAAAATAAAATAATTTATTATGTCATGATTATACATAGCTATAAATAATAATACAATTTAAGAAAGTAAAGCATTTTATATTTAAGCTAATTTTTATTTTATACCAGCTACGTAACTTACCCTAACAATAACATATTGCTTGCATTTTTTAACTTCGCGCAGAGGTAGAGTCTAGTTTTATCGCTTGTTAGAAACATTATCTAAAGTAAAGGGAGTTTGACCTAGTTAATTTTTATGAAAATTCTTAATATTAAAAATAGAATTTATTCTATTACAGAAATATAGAAAACATAATATACGTCGAAGATGAGTTACGGTCGAAAAGGACCTCCATCTATTAAAGGAATGGAATCTCTTAAAGTTGATAATTTAACTTACCGAACAACAGTTGAAGATTTGAAACGATTATTCCAAAAATACGGCGAAGTAGGTGATGTGTACATTCCGCGCCATCCTTATACTCGTGATAGTCGCGGCTTTGCTTTTGTAAGGTTTTATGATAAACTTGATGCAGAAGATGCCATGGATGCTGTAGATGGATACGTTTTAGATGGTAGAGAGCTAAGAGTTCAAATAGCTAAATGTGGAAGGCCAAATGATCCATGGCAAGGTGGGGGATCACGTGGAAGGAGAATGAGAGATCGAGGAAGGTCTCGTTCCAGAGGCAGGCGGTCCAGGTCGCGATCAAAACCAAGAAGGTAAGAGCAAGACTAACTAACTAATAGTAATAGCTAAAAAAGTAATTTAGAGAAAAGTGTATTGTTTAAAAGGTGTATGCCACTATGATAATTAATGTACACTGGCAAACCACTTCATTAGAAGTATGAGCTACGTTGATCATATGATGTGCCAATTGAACCCTTCAGAACTATAAGTGACTTGGACAAGCACGTTTGTGGTCAGTTTAATAGGAATGGGGGAAAACAAAGATTTTGAAGAATTCAAAAGAAGCGTTATAATGGGTGCTCAATTAGCAAGTGCCACAGTACTCGGTAGTCAAGACAGTTTTATGGGTAGATTGGCATTTTGAGTTTATCAGCAATGGAAAAAGTTGAATAAAATGTCTCTTATGAAGGAGTATTGGTAGCTGTAAACAGATAATGACAGAAAAAGGAGAAAGGTAGTTTGACAGGGTAGTAAAGTCCTTCTGTCATCAAACAATACAACTAACAGACACTCAGTGCAGAGCAATCCACATCCATCTCCAGCTGTATCATATGAAAAACATTGCAATAAATGGACTGTAGCAGTAGGAAACCATTGCATACACTACTGGACTTGGATATCAACAATAAAAAAATACCTTGAATTGTGTAAAGAATGTAGATATTGAAAATGAGAACTGGTGAAAGGTGATACAGTTTTGAATAATATTTTACCCATTTTTGCACAGGTGGGAGAAGGCAGGTTTTGTAAAGTCAGAAGAATAACTTTACCCTCTTGTATGTTACCAACTGCCCAGGCATTTGGTGGAATCATAGTTTGGGACATGTTTTTCTGGCATACACTGGTCTCCTTAGGTCCTTTAGAAGAGAGAATGAATACTACAGCTTAGCACAGCATAATTTTTGACTAGGTATATCCAGCAAAACTTCATGTATACCCTCATGGGAATAGCTGCTTACAAGACAACAATGCTTCCATCAGCCATGCCCAAATTTTGCATGCAAATTGCATGGTTCTAGGAATATGATGGAGACTTCAGGCATTTCCCATGGCCACCAAAATTCCATGATCTCAATCCAATTGAACATCTGTGGGATGAACTTGAAAGGTACGGTCATCTCTTTTGCCTACCTTGCTCCATGAATTGTGTACAACATTAACAACTGGATGTGGGAAAACTAGATACCTTCTAGCACTTTATAGACTCTGTGTCACACCTTATTATGGCTGTTATTCAGGGAAAAGGTAGCCCAACCCCTTACTGTTTATAGTTCTTAATAAAATGGCCAACCAGCATTTATTATTAACTTGTACTAAAATGTTTTTCTCTTAATTTAAATTTAAAAAAAGATTAAAGATACAGCATTGTCATACGATGAATATATTTTTATTCTTAATGAGAACTTGCAGAGAAAACTATTCTAACAATTGGATGTTGTGTAAGTACTTCAAAATTTTTCTTTTGACAGTTTGATGAACTAGTAAGATTTTATGGCACATCATCACACAGTGTTGGTGAATGGTGTGCAGTAATGATTTTAATTATACATTGAGATGTTTAGAATTAATACAATGTGATACTTTTAAAAACTGTAGCAGGGAAAATAAATAGGAAATGAACATTCTCTAGTAAATAAAAGATTATCTCATATTATTATTGTGTACCTAATCAACCAATATGGAAAGAGCATGCATCTGTGTGTATAGACTTAGAAAAATTGTTTAACAGTAAGTTTAAACATTTGTTTAGATTGTGAGTAGATATACCACAGTACAATTGTTTGCCTAAAAGTAATCACATTACAGAAAAGAAAGTATTGTGTAAAACTATAAGTTGGAAAATCTGGTGAGATAGTTACATTTGTTACCTTAAGTTAAATTAGTTTTATTCTGACTAAACAATGCAGTACTTAACTGTCCTTCATATGAGATTACTACACATTTTCCTGATGTTAGGCCTATGATTTTACGGCAAACCGAAGTTCAAAATTAACTTTGCTTTGATGAAACTTAAAGAAAAAAGTGGTGATTTCTTGGTTTGCTTTGATGAAACTTAAAGAAAAAAGTGGTGATTTCTTGGTTAAAGTTGAAGTTAAAAAAACTTATATAAGTGATCAGTTTAAAGTGAATTGCCAGTAGGTGCATGATGACATTAAAGTATTTACAATGAAAAAACAAATATTTTAAAATATTTTCTTTATATACCATTTTATTCATTTCATTACTGAAGAAAACTATAATTCTTTTTCTTCTAGAAAAGCTTTAGGTATGTTTACAAGAAAATAAGCAGCACAGATATATGCATTTTTAACCTTAATCTTTATTAATGATTGAATGAGTATTATTGTGAAAAACTTTGTTTACAATTTTAATTTTAGGTAGGGTAGTCAAATCACAAAGTTTATAATTTAAATGAACATTTCCATTAGATAAAAACATTTTTTTTGATAAAAGGTAAAGATTATTAAAATGTATGATATATATATATGTTATTATTTCCCAAAATGTTTCATAATTGTATAAATATTTTTCATTTTACTTTAACTGTTACTAGTCTTAAAATTTTCAGGTCACGATCAAGATCAAGAAATCACTCGCATCATCATTGTTCAAGATCTAGAAGTACTTCCCGAAGTCGAAAGCAGAAATATTTTCATTCAAAGTAGGTACAACACGTATATTTATATTCAAGTACTTAGAAAAATCCAAACTAATTAAAAAAAAAAAGAATGGTACATAAAACTTCCAAATGAGCAATTTTCAAATAAATATGTAATGTGTGTGTGTTCTTTTACTTTTTTGATATTAACTAAACATTTTGTAAATAATGAGACTTATTTGTAACTTAGACAAAAGTTGGTGATGAATTCTATTAATAAGGAGAATGTTGATAAACTATGAGATATTGCACAGTACAGATCAAAAGAAATAGTACAGAAAATGTTTACATGCAGTTTGTGGAAAGGTATGAAGTGTGGTACATATCTGTTTCTGTAACTAGCAGCAACGAAAATTTTAACAGAGGCCTCAAAAATTGAAGTGTTAAACTGTGCTGATCAAGTTACTGTGATTTTAGAGATTGTAATCTGTGTAGTTTAAACATTAGGATATAGAAGACACATTCACTGAACAATAAGGGTGTGTTGTTTTCTCCTACAACCCCCACAATTGCAGGAAGGCCTGAGCCAAAATGGGGACCAAAGGGTCTGACAAACTTAAGAATTGCTCATAAGGAGAGAGACATAAAATTATAGAGAAATAAATGTAGGGGGGTCCAATTAATTTTTATGTGGGAGAGGGGGCATCTTTTGTTGTTATCCCACTGGCAGTGATGTTACTATGGGCTACTACAGTTGAAATATACATTAATTTTGCCAAGGTTGCACATGTTTTTGACTGAGTTGATCTAATCTGTAACAGTATCTTTACAGTCTTTGAATCACATAACTGCTTTCTGTTTATCAATGTAATATGACTTGGCTCTAACTTCACAGTTGGCTCATGTGGCTGTTTTTTTACAGAAGATTTTTTTTTCTTCTAGATTCTAGAAGTTAAATGTTACTGGTGTAGTAGAATACATATGTAACTGTTACTACTAAGTTGTAATAAAACAAAAAGCTATATTAGCATGCAGCATGTGGTGATTCTATACAAGTTTATTATTGGTCTGTAATTGTGTATTTTTCAATTAATATATTTGAAGATGTTGGATTCATACATGTAGTTTTCTTTATTGAGTGCATTTTGTGATTTTTAATTTTTAGGTTGCATTCAAAAAGCCGTAGTTGCAGTCAGACAAAAAACTTGAAAAAGCATGGTGATAAGAAGAATTCTAGTAGAAGAGAAAGTCGGAGCAATAATCGAAGCCCTGAGAAAAAGGGAGAAAACAATAATGATGAAGCCTTTGAAGAGAACAAAGATGACGATTCCCAAAGTGAACATGGTAGCCTGAGTCGATCAGAAAATCAAGAAAAAGGGCAATCCAAGTCTCATTCTCGTTCCAACTCCAGAAGCTGAAGCTGATTTTGTGAACGGCAAGATTTTGGGTGGTCATAACATGGTGTGTCAAGGGTTGCTCACTGTTGTGATCTGGTGGAGACTCAATGCAGGTTACATGTATGTGTTTAATCCTGTTAGTTTTTCTCTAAAGTTTGGTTTATACAGTCAAATATGAGATTTTACTTAATTTTCTTTTTAATTTAATAAGTGTTTCATATACTCGTTAATTTCACATATGCAATTAAATACTGAAATCTGAGTTATTTTTTAAAAAGGTTAATGTTTTTGCAGTTCTTTGTAAATTAGTTTAATATGTAAGAGAGCTTTACCTATTAGCATTCTAAGTTTCTGTAACTTATTAGATGCATACTCAATCTATAAAACACCATTTTTTAAACACTTTTAAGTTGTTTTTGGTATCTTTTTCATATGCTGTATCATTGATTTAGAGAAACATTAAGTATGACTATTTTAACATATGTGTATGTATTAGGAATAAAACTATGCACCTAATTTGTTTTCAGCAAAAAAACCTGGTTGAAATTATTCTTATGTCAGTTGATACGTAAAATCAGAAAAACGTTTGGAGTATAGGTTGGCTATGTCATTAGTATTAAATTTAAATGTTATTACTTGTCTAGAATTTTGGTATGTACACTTGTGTGTCTTAAGTTGTGTTTTATTTTTTATTTAACTTTGTCTAACCCTTTTTCCATTAAGTGAAATATTTTATAATATTACTTATGTTGTCATAGGGTATGTGTAGATGTGTGTTAGTCTACCAAATCGGTGGAGCTTTCAGATTTCTTAACAATAATAAATGGTTTTTTAATGCCCAAATTTAAAGTACACATTTGTGTAAACTACTAAACTTTTATTTGAACATATAAATGATTACTTAAATGAATGTGTATATTACATATTTATTGAACATTCAGATGTTTATTTATGGTACTACATTAGACTATGAAGATATAGCTTTTGATAATATGATTAATGTCAAAACGACTGTTACGTCTTGTATGTTTGTTTGTTAATTCTTCTAAGATACAAGTCTTTT